CAAGCGTATTCCACTCTTATGTTCATCAGTGGTTTTGTCAGTTAAGATATGATCCTAGATTGAACATAGACTGGGGACTGTCCGATGGCGAAGGGCTAGAAAGAATTTGGTCGAGCTTGGCATCATTGGTTTCCGCATTAAGGTATTCAACCAAAGCACATAGGCTTTGTGCTTTAAACCTGCGAACACAACATACCAATGAACTGAAACGGAGGCGAGCTAGTGAGTGATTTTCTCATGTTGCACGTTTTTTGCACTGCTGACTTCTGTACCAATATTATCTTGTTATTTTGTACAGTACAATGGTCAAGTGAACGATTCACATCTAGTAAGAAAATATATTGCACAAGCTTGCAGAAATTGAGAACCTTGCAAAGCAAGAACCCAAGGTATACGGAGAACTACTTTGTAAACCAGTGGACCAGGCAACGCGAGAGTCAGCTGCGAGTCATGGTCGTTGAAAATTCACAAGTGTTGAATGGCAAGCTTGGTAAACTTGTGGAGTTGGAAGAAGAGCATCGGAAGGCCGAGTTGAGTTGTTTTCTATTCTAATCAAGATAAAAACCGAGCTTGATGTAGTTTGGATTGATTGATCATCAGGGAGGAATTGAAAGTGTTGAAGGCCAAGCGACAAAATATTCGAACGGAGGCAGATAAACGAAAGCTGGACCATCTTCCTGTTAGACTTCTTATCCTCAAAGATGAAATCAATGAGGTAGTTGTTGAACTGGGTGGGGATCACTACAGAGATATGCCGGGATGGTCAAGTGAGGTGGATGTTACATTCGCTCGTCATATTGATATTGATGATGTTTATTTTCTTTCAGCCCCAAAGGGTAAACTTCTCATCAGGATCCGAGTGGCAAAAGCGAAACTGTATGGGGCCAAGGTTGATGTGTTTGAAAGCCAAAAACAAAACGATCGAAGAGAAGGTAATTTTAAATTGCAATGGAGCAATACAAAAAGATATATTTGATCAGTTGATTGTTAAACTGGAGTTGTGTAATAGGTACCCGAATGCAGCAACGCTCAAAGAAACATTTGAGAGACAGACAAGCCGATTTGAAGAAAAAGTACAACATATTTCATCGGAATGTACAGGAATATAATACAAAGTTTGCGTCCCCAAATCCAATTGAGTGTCCACCTTTCGAGGAAATCCAAAGACTGTTGCTGGAGGATTTGTTTTGGGACATTGGTCAGCTAACACATCCAGGTGAACCGTGGGCCTCCGATCCAGATACTCGAGACGGGATACGTGCTTGCCTAGATTTCACTCACTCTCGGGACGAATTGAGTAGGATCGGGCGCGAGTGTAGACAAGCGGTCAAGTGGGCACTAGATGTCAAAGAGAAACTATCAGTCTTATTGACAGCCCTGGAACTTCAAGGTGAGTGTGGGTGAGTGTTATGAATGATTAAAACTTCAAAAGACATGAAAGCTTACCCAAAATGTTGACAGATGTCAATACCGAGACTATTTCCAATAAGTGGTTGGTCAGCTTGGTTAACCCAAAATGGATGACACCACTGGAACGTCTCGAGACAAGTAAGGAGGTCCTACGGTCTCTTCACGAACGTCTTAGCCGGGATCACGCTCGATTGTCAATGGTATGGAATATCAAGATGCTTAGTGTGCTGAATGAAACAAGGTCGTCGAGCTCTTTGTCTGAAGAGGAAGAAGTGTCGATCAAGCTAAGGTGGAATGCGTTTGTGACCGAAAGTAAGGTGACCTGGAAAAAGGCTACAGAGGCAGAGATTATCGAATCAACACCTCTGCTTGAGGGCGAAGCGTTCGAATTGACGTGGGGCCTTCTAGCTATTGACGGAGACGATGAGATCAATGATGTGGTGAATGATTTGTTTGATATGGCCTTTGATGATGATGATGAAGTAGATGTAGAGGTTGAAGATCGGGCAGCCGGAACGGCAGGCTGAGGCAGGCTGAGTTGAAGTTGTAGGAGATCGGTCAGAAGGGGTCGAATGAAATGCAATGATTGCCGTGTTAGATTAGTGCTAGTGAGATGCTTACCAGACTCTATGTTGTACTGTCTTGAACAGTTGTGATGGTGAGATATCTGAGAGAGCTCAGCGTATAAGTACAAACGTTATAAAGTTTTTGTGAGGTTATGGCTGGCCGCTGCATGCTTCGGCATAAGCGCACCCGCTTGAAGAGCGCTCTGGGTGCGTCTCAGAGCGCTCTGGGTGCGTCTCAGAGCGCTCTGGATGGTCATAATAGTGAAGTGACTTGGAAAAAAATATAAGTGGGTGAAATGAGAGGTAACACCTGAATCTCATACTTGAGTATTGAAAACATGGACTTTGTTGAGTTTTTGAAGACTTATAGTCCGCGGAAGTAGTGCACCAGAGCATCTGGGTGCTCTGGCGTCAAGATAGGGCTTCTCAGCCAGTCATATGACACACTGTATGACTGGCTTGTAAGTCAACAGACACAGGTGACACAGGTGAACTGGATATGGCAGACGTTGTGGTCGGTGGTGAGTAGACATGTTTTAGCCCTCTATCAGTGTGTCACAATCACAGGGATCTTTCCAACAAGGTGGAAGGAAGCAAAAACAATCATGCTTCCCAAACCAGGTAAGTCAGATTACACCTCACCATCTTCATTCCGGCCCATAGCACTCCTCAACACTCTAGGAAAGTTCTACAAAAAGATCATCACCTTACAACTATCACAACAAGTTGAGCAACTTCAACTCCTCAACAATGGTCACTACGGCGGACGTCCCAACCGGTCTAGCCACGAAGCGCTAGTACATTTAGTAGCGTACATCCGTGGGGAATGGGCTAAAGGTAATATAGTTGGAGCTATGTTTGCTGATGTTAAATCAGCGTTCCCATCAGTCCACCACCCGCGTTTACTGGACACCCTCGAGGAAACAGGCCTCCATTCAACAACCATCAATATCATCAAAGATTTTCTATCAGAACGCACGACAAGACTAGCTTTCAACGGCTTTGAATCAGAACCTTTCGAGCTAACCCACGGCTTACCACAAGGATCACCACTCTCTCCGCTTCTCTACCTCATCTATAATTCATCGCTACTAGATATTGCCAACCCGATGGGTTGGGCAGAGGCTCTAGGATTTATAGACGACGTAATCCTCCTAGCATCAGCACCAGACCCTCACCAACTTCAATCAAAGATGAAAACGCTTACCTGCCGACAGATCAAATGGGCCGACAGACACGGCGTTATTTTCGACATTAAGAAGAGCAATTGGATGATTCTTAGCACCGCTAAGTACCAAAAACCACCCACAATTGACTTTGGCTCACGGAAAAACTTAATCCCCCAGGATAGCACGAAATGGTTGGGTGTCACATTAGACAGTCAACTCAAATTCTCCCAACACCGCCGAGATGCAATAGCTAAAGGTAAACAGCGCTCAGGATTCATAGCATCCCTTGCAAAGACTGAATGGGGGATCCCGCCTCATCTCATGCGAACCCTCTTATCAGCAACAGTCCATGCAACAACGGACTATGCACTAGCAGCGTGGCTACCGCTCGACCCACCAACTTACTTCCTAAACCACCTCTCAACTATAGATTATACATGTGCAAGGACGGCGCTTGGAGCACTCCAGTCAACACCGCGGACCTTCCTGCAGCACGACATGAATCTAACACGCCCGGAAACCCGCTTAAAAGCTAAGGTGATGTCATTCATCGCCAGATCCCTAACAAAACCAAGTCATCATCCCCTGTTTTCAATCATACAACAGGCTCAAACGTCGAAACCACGAGTTCACCGCAATGTCTTCCATCAATTCTTCCAACATCAGTTGGGAAAAGAATTCGATGAGTTCACAACGCAACTCCCGGTCGATCCGTCGGCCACTTTGTTCAAACCATCAAACTTCTCAACTATCATCCACGAAGACGAAGATGCGGCCATTAAAGGCACAAATCTCCTGCGTCACACAAACCAACACCTAATCATATACTCTGACGGATCAAGAATTCCAACCAAGAACACCGCAGCGGCCGCGTGGTGCCAAAACACCAACAAATCAGTTGCTCAACACCTAGGTAAAGCACGACTACACGGAATATATCAAGCCGAGTACAGAGGAGTCCAAATCGGCCTTACAATCGCACTCAAGACGGCGACTCCACAAACAAGACGCATCTCCATCATCCTGGATAACCAGTCAGTTATCAAAGACTTACGCAACTGCCCACTCAACATTGCCTCACTGCTAGACAGGAAGGAAACCTTCAAAATACTCACATACTTAGAACAAGCATTCCCTTCAGCAAGAATCACAATCCGCTGGTGCCCCGGTCATTGTGGCATAAAAGGTAACGAAATAATTGACAAAATAGCTAACGCTTTGGCAAGGCGAGACCTGCCAAGCACTTTCTCATCTACCCCATCACTTGCAGGCTTCACAACCGCCATCAAGGCATGGTCCAAACTTGAAGAAAACAACTTCACACCATCAGACATCAAGCGACTAGGGCAAAAACCGACACCTTCGAGACACCTCAAAGAGCTTAGCCACCTCTTGAAGCACGAGTGTGCTACAATAACACAGCTAAGATCGAACCATATTTACCTCAATCAATACCTAAACAAGCACCAACAACGCTTTGATCCCATGTGCGATTGCCAGGAAGGGATCGAAACTATTGACCACTTCTTATTCATTTGCCATAGATTCAATCAACCGAGAATCAAGCTCACCGCTGCCCTTAACGAACTTCAAGTTTCAGAAAACACAGATGCTCTCAACAACCCAAAAATCTTCAAACACATCACCGTGTATTGCAACTCAACCTGGAGGTTGAAAAACCGCTGGGTTTGGGCCAAGATAACGGACGAGACTGCACCTCAAGATATTCATGTCTTATCAACTCCCCTTCTCTAATTACCCCATCCTTTAGCGCCACCGCATGTACCCCATTAACACTTGTAATACTTTACACAGCCGGCACGCGTCCTTTTCCCCACAGGGGTTTTTACCGGAGCGGAGCACAAGTAGTTACAGTGCCTGATAGCCTACGGCTCAGGAGGCACTTGAAGCAATGCATAAAAAAAAAATCTTTGCGAGCTAGTTGAACTTTGGATAGATTGACTCAAGCCTGAAAGGTAGAATGAGCTGCTTCTTCATCGTTTGAAAATTTCAATTCAAGATCCTTGATGTATTGTACATTTCAGTCTTAGCTTCAGTTTGCTTTGATTAGGTGATCTATCTTTAAATTTTGATGACCACTCCTGAAGATGCCTCGGCCAAATAACCTTCTAGTAGACTGAGATTATCCTGAGCCTGCGCCAGATCCGCTATTGCTTCGGCATACTTTGCTTATAGCTTGATTGGATATCCCTAAAGCTCCAGCAAGCGTAAGGCATAATCATCAGCTCCTATACAAGCCTATCCAGATATGCCGGCAATCCGAGATTGTTCTTGAGATTTGCAAGCTCTTTCCCAAGTTTTGGTGAGAGATATTCAAAATCGTCCCAGCAGCTTTGATAGCGTTTACTTCAGCTCGGTTCTGCGCGGTTGTCATTTTTGTCAGTGTTCAACATTTTGTGGAGCTGGGACGGATCAACGTCATTCGTAGTAGATTGGAGGAGTGTATTGAAGGTGATGGTTGGTTGTTGGGGGTTTTACCAGTGCTGCAAAATATGCAGTGTCCAATAGCCGTAAGGCTCTAGAGACACTTAAAGCAATGCATAAAAAATGGTTGGTTGTTATTCAAAGGTGAGACAAGACCAATACTATTACGGCAAGTCCACTCCAGAGGGCTATGAAAGGAGTTGATGAGATCACTAATTTGAAAGTGACACTTTCATTGGCAGCTGCTAGCCAAGCACTGTGAAGTTTTGGTAGAGTGTTGTTATCCGAGTAGGTTGTTGGTGATTGGTGTAATATACAGCCATTCCGATATTGCTTGTCGCAATGTTTTTGAAAAGAAAACGTTTGTGAGCTTGAAACCTAAGTTTTGTGAATGGCTTGAAACACCTCAGTACCTATAAATATAGTGCACAAAGTAAGCACTCTTCTCCTACAAAGCTTAGGTATGCAGACCTTTGCTAACCTAACGGTTCGGGAGGTAGAAGTTAATGTGAGAAACAGAAATGTAAGCACAAAGGCTCTGACAAATGATCTAACGGAAATTCTCTTTCCGAAAGATGAGATTATATTACTACTCTACTAACCTATAAATATAGTGCACGAAGTAAGCACTCTTCTCCTACAAAGCTTAGGTATGCAGACCTTTGCTAACCTAGAAACAATAAGTAAAAGAAATAAGAAAGAAACAACTTAGATAGATGAAATGTAACAAGATAAATGATGTGTTTTATACCTAACGGTTCGGGAGGTAAAAGTTAATGTGAGAAACAGAAATGTAAGCACAAAGGCTCTGACGAATGATCTAACGGAAGTCTAATGTGTTTATCGAGTTAAATCAGTAACGAGATGATAAAAGGTGATTTTAAGAGAAACACTTACTCTCTTTCCAAAAGATAAGGAAGGAGAGGAAGTCGCATCAGACACCATCATAAACATATAAAGAAAAACATTTGAAGAGATTTCATTGGGATTGATGTTCAGTAATGTTATTGGGAAAACAAAAAACTACTCTCAGATCAAAACCAGAATCATACTACATTTTCACTCGTCAAACAACCTATCAAGACTACTGTCTTGATTGTCTTCCAACAAGTTTTAACTGGTTAAAACCTGAAATTTGGCTGTATTGCCTTGAATTACAGCCAACTTGAAGTTTTATTGAGTAAAAACTTAGGTTTCACTTTTTCTTTTTCAAAATGGAGCGACAAGCAATATCGGAATGGCTGTAGGAGCAGTGAATAATCAAAAGAAGAGCTTGAGGCTTATATAAGATATATAAGATGACGATTATTGGGAATATTGATCGCTATGTATGGAATCAGAATTGAGCTATCACCTACCAGCAAAATGAGCTTATAGAAAATAAATGCTCCATAGATGTAATCAAACATGTTCCTAGGGTTCAAAAGTTGGCTGGATGTGTAGGGTGTACCAAGGCGCTTCAGCCATTTTGTTATGGTTCTTGTAGAGCGTGCATCGGCACATCTATGTGGTACCTCAACCAAAATTCCGTCCCAATTCCGTCACAGAATTTTGATTCTTTTTCACAACGTCAGAATTCTGTCCCAATACTGTCACGGGATTTTGATTTTTTTGGTAATTAAAATTCTGGACCAAAAAAATCAAAATTCCTTACGGAATTGAATCATTTGTTTGTAGTGTAAGAAACAGAAACAAGCCTCAATGTCCATTAGCAAATACCTCACCCCTTCACCTCTTAAGAATTCAATCGATGTTGATGGCTTTTTACCAAGTGGAAGTTCAACAAATGAACAACCTATGTCATGTCGCACCAACGATGCCAAAATCGAACTTTCTTCCACTCCACCCAGTTACCATGCCGAAAGTAATGAGACAGGCGGACCAGCATGGCCTGGTAGGTCATCAATGAAGGATATTGGTAAATCTCTATCCGAAGCCTTGAAAGACGATGCTACCAACAAATCAGCTTGGAAATCTGTTTACGATGAGCACGGTTTTAAATACGTAAAATCAACTGTATCATGGTACCGTCGTTGGCTTGAAGCTATTGATGATAATCAACAGAATCTTACCTCGCTATAAACGGCAACAAGACAGTGAGGCATGGTATCAGACACTTCCATGCAGCATGTTAAGGCTGGGTCACTGGGGTTCTTCGACAAGGGTTGAGATCACCTCGTAGAGGTCTTTGTTATTGATAACGAGATTGTCCGATGAGGAATACAATCATCTGTAGTGCGTAATCTAAAGTACATCATGATCTGTGACATGTATTGAGTGAGTGTCACTTGCTTGTGTGATATGATTCATAACATTATCCCCCATTTAATGCCCAAGCTTCCTCTTGTAAGCTCTGCATTCTTATCCCTGGGTAGCATTAAAAAACCTCATGGGAAAAAGCTTTACCCCCTCACCGTCTTCTCCTTCTTCTCCTATGTTGTCCTGCGGCGTTGGGATATTTCTTGTTGAATTCTTCTACCAATTCGTTACTGTGCTCCAAATGTGATAAAGGCTCCCACGAATTGTCTTCAGCTCCAAATCCTTTCCAACTTATTAAGTACTCACGCCTTTTATTTTTAATTCGACAGTCCAGTACTTCCTCTACTTCCCATTTGTCGTTGCCGTCTATGGTGATTGGACTTGGCTGGCTGGTTGTCTTCCGTGTATGCGTTCGATGAAGCGTTTTCGTAGTAGGAGACACCGTGAAATACAGGAAGTACACCTTTCATGCTGTCTGGTAGTTTCAATCTGTAGACGGATGGAGAGAGTTTTTCAGTGATGTCAAAAGGTCCTAACCATCTGTGACTTAATTTAGGACTAGGTCTAGTAGCCGAAATATGTTTTGCATTCAGCCATGCTTGATCTCCAATTTTCCAATCCGGTGTCGGTCGTACGCTTCTATCTAACTGATTTTTCATTTCTTCTTGCGCTAATTTTAAGCATTCTGATAATTCTGATTGTACCTCTTGAAGTAATTTCAATCTTTCTTCCACCTTTGGGATACATTGTTCTTTCAAAGGTATTCCTCCAAACGTTGGATTATACCCATAATTAGCCTTAAAAGGTGAAACTCCTATGGAAACGTGATCTTTGTTATTATACGAAAACTCAGCTGTTGGTAATAAGGATTCCCAATTCTCCTGACGGTATTTGACAAAATGCCGTAGATATTGTTTGATAGCTTTATTGACTATCTTGGATTGACCGTCCGTCCTTGGGTGGAAGGCTGTAGATGGTTGCAGTCGTATACCTAGTCTATTGTTCAGCTCTTTTGTTAGTTGTGATATAAATATCGTCCCTCTATCTGATATGATTGATTTTGGTGTCCCATGTAGACGCCATACTTCCTTTACCATGATATCCGCCAATTCGTCGGATGACATACTTTCCTTGCATGGGATAAAATGGGCCATTTTCGTCAATCTGTCGACGACTGTGAGGATACTATCTTTTCCGTTGGATTCTGGCAATTTGGTAATTAGGTCGTAACTGATGTCGGTCCAAGGTCCAGCTGGAATGGGTAGAGGCTCTAAAGATCCAAAAGGTTGCTGATTGCTTGTCTTAACCCTCAAACAGGAATCACAGCTGTCAACGTATCTATTCACAAAAGCCTTCATTCCCGGCCAAGAGAAGCACCTACGGATCAGACCTAATGTCTTTGATCTACCAGGGTGGCCCGCTATCAAACTGTCATGTCGACTTTTCAATATAAGTAATTTGATAGCATCAACTTGAGGTACTTCAATTCGGTTCTGGTGGTACAGTAATCCATCTTTGACTTTTTATTTCGACATGGCTGATTTCAATCTTGAAGATATCGGGTTCATTACGGCATTCATAATCTCTTGAATTCTTTCATCATTTGATGTTGCTTGTCGTATTTCATCAATAATTTTTTCGTCTGATGGAGCTTGACTTTCTTCTGGCGTCATGTCATCTGTGCTAGATACTCCTAGGACATCAATTTCGAACCATTTCTCAGCGTCTTGTAGTTCTACGTCTTCGTTTTCGAAAAATGACTCGATTGAGGCCACTTCGATGAAGGTGTCAGAAGTAATGTTATCTGGGCGTAGTTACTGGCCGAATGTCAGCTTTTCCTCTTTTGTTGGAGCAAGATCTGGACGTCTTGATAGAGCATCAGGCTTAGTGGCTTGTCTACCGGGTCTGAATTTGATTGTAAAGTCAAAGCAACCTAGCGTTTCGGCCCAACGGGCCTGGCGTCTTGTTATTTGCTTTGTCGTCATAAAGGTTTCTAGATTCCTGTGGTCAGTGTAAACGACAACCTCCAATCGGTTTGGATTTCCCTCGAGGTAATGTCGCCATTCTTTGAATGCAGCGACAATAGCCAATAGTTCCTTATCGAAGATCTCATAATTTCTTTCAGCTTGAATCAGAGATCTCGATAAGTAAGCCACAGGGTGTATTTCACCATCGTCATCGCACCGTTGAGAAAGTACAGCTCCGAGGGCGAAATCCGAGCAATCACACTCAAGGATAAATGCCTTATAAGGATCAGCTATTTTAAGGACTGGTGCAGTTGTAAAGGCAGTTTTCAGGTGTTCAAAAGCTTGATTACAACATTCATTCCAGTCAAATACAGTATCGTGCTTGGTGAGATTATGTAATGGCCTAGTGGTCGCAGAAAAGTGGTCAATGAATCTTTGATAAAAGTTTGCAAATCCGATGAATCGTTGTAATTCAGACACGTTTGTAGGTGCAGGCCACTTGGTAACGGCTTTTACTTTAGTCGGATCCATCTTCACTTTATTGTATGAGATAATTAAGCCAAGGTACTCTACTTCAGATTTGGAAAATTCGCATTTTTCCGGTTTTAACCATAGTTGATGCTTTCCAAAAGTTTCAAGTACACTGTTGACTGCCGGTTCATGCTTCTCTCCTCTCTTTGTATAGATCATAGTATCATCTAGGTAAACCGCGGTGTCTCTTCCAATACGAGTCAAGAGTATATCTTGCATGAAGTATTGGAAATATCCGACTGCGCCCGTTGGGCCGAAAGGCATCGTAAGGGGCGCAAATTGACCCTGCTTACAGATAAAGGCCAGCTTGTCTTCGTCTTCCTCAGCAACTCTTAAATTTCCATATGCGTTACGGAGGTCGAGTTTGGTGAATTTGTCGGCATTGAGAAGGCTATCTATGAGATCCATTGTTAACGGTAGTGGATACTTATTTTTAACCGTCAGAGAGTTTAACTTTTGGTAGTCAAAACATGGCCGTAGATTGCCATCTTTCTTCCCAGTGAAGAGAACCGGGGCCGCCCAAGGTGACGTCGTCCTACGTATGGTGCCGTTAGCCAGTGCAGTTGTAATCATTTCGTCGAGCGCCACGTTCTCAGCAGGAGAGAGCGGTATTATTCGACTGGCTTGAGGCTGTGCTCCGGGTATGAGTTGAACTCTGAAGTCGTATCGTCGTCTTGGCGGTAACCGTTGAGCCTGAGACTTGCTGAATAAATGCAAGTGCCGGTGGTAGCACGACAGGACCATTTGCTCGACAGTCTTGAGTGGCGTCTTCTTATTTATCTCGGCTGCTAACCGGGCTGACGTTGACCAGGAAGTCTTTGCGGCGTCGATTTCTAGATTTGAAGAAGTCCGTGGAGAAACAAGCTTGCCAGCTAGAACAGTGGATTGACTATATGAAGCGCTGTCGTACTCACATTGCGGGGGCGTAATCGTGTCAAAACTGACTCGAGCCCCCTCGTCACTAGTCCTAGCGTGCCCCTGAGGCTCCTCCAAAGGATCGACGGGGTTCTGTGGCGGAAGTGACGAGTCTGGTGTTTCAGACGCAACGTCTCTGCTGTCGGTCTCCTGGATTGAACTTGAACTAGATATTGGCGGCCGGTGCTGTTCGGATTTCGGATCTTTGCTGTATCTGTCCTTTCGGTCGTAATTGTTTGGAGAGACAAGCTTGCCAGCTGTTTCGGCAAGATGTGAAGAGGATAGGAGATCGTACTCACATTGCGGGGGCTTAATCGTGTCAATGCTGACTCGAGCCCCCTCGTCACTAGTCCTAGAGTGCCCCTGAGGCTCCTCCAAAGGATCGACGGGGTTCTGTGGCGGATATGACGAGTCTGATATCACAGACGCAATGAGTGCATCATTGTCGTTGTCGTGATCCTCCGAATCAGGCCTGTAGGCATTATTTTGGGAAGATAGAAGATTGCCAGCTGCTTCAATGCGGGATATGGAAGGTGTGAGATCGTACTCACATTGCGGGGATGCTAACGTATCAGAATAGATACGCATCCCCTCGTCAAGTCTCCTAGCTGTCCCCAATGGGCCTAATCTGGCATCCGTTGAGGTTGTTTTCGGGCTTGGCGACACCACTGACGTGGCGGCAATGTTAGTTGGGTTTGAGTCGTTGCTCGACGACGTCCAATCGATAGAGTGGCCGTGATGTCGTAGCCAAGGCATACCTAGTATGCCATCGTAGGTGTTTTTCAGTTTCGTAATGATAAACGTGGTTGGTGTGGTGTCGTCCTCAAAGATAAGGTCGATTTCATGGGTTGATTTGGATGTGGAACCGTCGAATCCGCTGATGTCGCATGAACTGCTAACTGCGTGCTCCAACAGTCCCTGCTCACTCGCAAAGGGAAGGTTGATCACGTTGTGAGTAGCGCCGGAATCAATCAAAAAACTGGCACGGGATGTCTCAATGGTTGTGGCTCTGGATAGGGGGCTGGTGGATAGTGTAGTCTTAAAATATAATCTGGGGTCATTTTTATTGCACATTACAATCTGACTAGCACCTAGCTCCATCATTTCCCCTTCTCTTCTTTCGCCCAGGATTGGCACAACTTTCACTCCTGAGCGCCTCCATTTTTTGAGGCATCAGCTCGACTACTACCCTCTCCTTTATCATCTGGATCATCTCTTCCTCTGTTCGTCGCTGCTAACTTCGCCTCCAAATCAGCGATCTTCACTTTATAATAATTCTTGTTGCCTCCTGATTTCACCAACTTCTTCTCCGGGCACTCTCTTGATCTATGACCCTGAACACCGCACTTAAAACACGATCCAGTACGCATACGTTCGGCCCGGTCTTTATCTGATAGACGAGTGTAGACC